GTCCTTCTGACCCTGAAGTGTTTGACAGGAGGGGAAAGGATAGATCCTAGCATCCCTAAGATGCATTTAGGAGTATAGCTCAGAACTTGAAATATATTTTCCTTTATCACAATTTCAATTTTAACTGTGTACCTTAAATGACTGGGGATTTGATTACAGCTGGAGAGGGCTCTCTTACATACACTACAGCAGGAGGTGCTAAGGCATACCTAAGGAGGTGGTGCCACCTGGTTTTTCTAGGTGTCCCTTGGGTGCTCCAAGAAAATGTAATGGAATAGCAGTGAAGTGTATGAACAGTCTGAAGACACAGTGAGATTCTGATGAGAATGTTTTGATTCTTACCCCAGTATTTTGAAAAAGGCCTGAAAAGATACTCTGAGTTAACTCCCATTTTGAGAATAACCTTAAACCAGTAAAGTATTTTGTTTCTGAGGTCAAGATTTGTGCTTTGCAAGAGTTCAACACTTGATTATGTGCTGTATCTATTGGATTTAAAACCAGGAGAAAAGCAGGAAAGGACTGCTTGCTATAAATAGCTGTGTCACTTTCCACATACTGAGATGTACTGATAAAATACAGCACAATCTACTTTTTATTTATTTTTCATTTTTTCTTTTGTTGGTTCTGTGAGTGGTATTCATTTTGCTTTCTTTTTTCTTGTGTCTGCATTCAGTTTGCAGTTTTATCAAAAGTGGTACTGAACTTCATACCACAGTACTTCTCACTAGTGATTTGTCTGAGACCTATTTTTCAACCTATAGCCTATATAGAACATAAGAAAATGATGTGCACAAAGTTTGTGTTTAAATGAAACCTACAAGCATACGTTCTATATTAACTGCAAAGAAACAAGAAATTACCTGGAAGTTTCCAGAGAAAGAAAGAACATTATCTTATGTTGAATCTCCTTCAACACACAACCTTCTTTTTGGAGGGGAGTTAGGGAGAAGTACATTTATCTAGTTTTCATGCAGAAATAGTTTTTGCCTGAAGATGTAGAAATTTTGTATCTTCTATAGTTGTAAAAAAAAAAAAAAAAAACTGCCAGGAAAACTTTTGCTAGAAAGAAGCAGTAGTCTTTAGGACTGAAAAATTTTTTTACTGATTCCTGTTACTGTGTGTGCTTCCTATGGAAGGCACATTGTATAATCAATGAATATATAAATGCATAATCAATAAGCATACAGAGAAGTTAGGCTAGAAAGATTATCATGTTAGAGAAAAATAATCAGAAACAAATGGAAAAGCTTACCTGTGTCCTGGGATTGCAGAAAAAGCCACTAACAGGAACAATCTCCAGAGGAAGAACCTTCCTCAGTGGCAGTCAGCTCTTAAATGGGGTCAAGGAGATGTGCAGCCAGGCTCCACCCCATCCGGTAGCACAGGTGAATTGCTTTCACCTGTGCTCCCAAGGCTAACTTATTGCTTGCCTCAAGTAATCAATCAGAGGTTCAGGCTGTGATTCAGTAGTTCCCATACACATGTCAAGAAAGATTTGTATATACACAAAATCTTAATTTTCATGATAGTATACTCCCTGGAAATACAGATCTTCTGTTGATTTATTGTTTTATGAAATCTGTGAAATTTTCTAAAATTTTGACAGGCAAAATTGTCTGGATATATGTATATGTACATTTTAAAGAAAGGGTTAGAGGAAAAAGCATAGTATTTTACACAGGACAAATTCATTTCTCGTTCTAATCTCATGTACTCTTTTGTTAAAACAGTCAACGTTTATTGTCAGACATTCTTACTGTTCTAAATTGTGCTCCATGGAAACCTTATTCAGCTAAGCCTATGCTCTCAGTGGACAGCCTGTAGTATTTATTATGAAATTTGAACAGCAGGATAATCTTTTACTGGGAGATTTGGATGGAAGTTACCACTCTTATGTAGCATGTCAAGAGAGAAACCAAAGCTCACTCTTTCTGTGAATTGATCCATTTTGTAATGAAGTAAGTTAGCTAGGACTGGTTATAAAGAAATTGAAAAAATACATAAACTAGCACTAATTTTACTGGGCTTCACCTCAAACTTAGTGTTTCAAATTTGGACTAAGTCCATGTATGTGTATGTATTTGTGCAATCATACATAACATCACAAAATATTTCTCATCTTTTTACTGCTGCCAATAGGATTTATAACAGGTATCATGGGAGATGGAAGTGTGACAAAACAGCTGTAGGTCTGAGGAGACTTCTCCTCACTGGAGAATGGAAATATTTGTAGAACCTCCCAGTTCTCACCCATGATGATGGATATAACGTGGAGTAGTCAGCAGAGATGTTCTTTCATGCTAGATATAATAAAATTTATGTCAACTATGTAATTGACCAGGTGTCTCTAGCAAGCAGGTGCGTGTTTAGGAAAATGTCAGAAACTACTGAAGTATTGAAAAAATGCGGTGAGGATAAAATTAACGTTTCATTTCTAGGAAATACTTTTAATTTTTCAGGTTTAATTTTAAATTCTTCAGGAGAAGAATAGAAGAGCATATACTAATATCTTGGACAAAGCTATGGGTACTATGCTGCTAGTCCCAAAATAAAGTGCATTCAGATTAAATATTTGGCTTTAAAAAAACAAATAGAGAAGATGAACTGAGCTGTGATCTGGAACTTCCAGAGTTCCAGTTGCATCTTCTGAAAAGCAGATCCTCTTCTCTAGCTTGAGTTCTTAAACCAGTAGCTTTTGACAAAGTGATTTCTATTAGTAGAATTAGTAATTTCTAAATGTTATTTTAAAATTCTTGTGCCAACAATTTACAGAAACTTTTACATCAAATCTTAACAGCCTTTTCTTTTGGTTTCAGCTATTTCTTTTAATTCCGATTCATACTCACTTATCAAAATTTCAAAAATTATTACCAAAAAGTGCAATGATTAGAACATGAGGATATTATAAGCCTGTTTAGAAATGCACATTTTAAATTTTTATTCTTGACAGCTGCAATCACACCAGCTTATTGATCCCTATCAGGTAGGATGCTTTGTCCAGCACTCCAAGTATTATGAACCACTCTGAAGTGATTCATACAAACTTGTCTCTCTATCTCTCCTTTAAAATAAGCATTGTTGTTTTTGAGACTCCTACAATCCTTACTCTGGTGAGACAGGCCTGGATAGAACAGTGTACAAGCAAGTTCTCTATGGTTGCCTGTTGACTTAACTCATTGTAAAGGATGCTTTATGTTCCTTCTTACTACAGCAGCATTTCTGTTACACTTCATTTTGCTTTTATCTTAACGTCTGATTACATCTGGCAACAAGACAATTAGGAAGATGCTACTGCTGACTTGAGTTATAAATACTCTTATAAATGCAAAAGAACCTTACGCTCACTGATCAGCTGTGCTGCTGCACTGTATGCTCAAAGCCAGGAAATGTCAAAAGCGGCCTTTATTCTGCCCTCTGGTGTATGTGTATTACAATACATTTTATAATTACTTGATTTCCGCATTTTCCATTTAACTGAGTGCAAAAACATACTATAGCTAAGAATTCCAGCTGCAAATCTGGAACTTATAATAGTATTGTTGTTGTTGTTGTTGTTCTACTCCTCTACAAATTAAATGGCCAGGATATTTTGGAGCATTCTCTCTAAATATTATGTTAGAAATACCTCAGTGGAAAAAAGCCATAATGAAACTAAATATTCTTAGCAAATAACACATGTGAAAAGATATCTTTTCAGAGTAAATGCTCTTTGTATTGTTTATATTTTTGATGACTTCTATCTAATCTTTGGCAAATACATTTAGGAACAGGACAAAAATCTTTATTTCTAATTTGATTCAGCAGCTAAGAAGCTAAGAAATGTCTATGATAATGTAATAAAAGGTGGATTTTGTATTATCATTGCTGTGTTATTGCTATAATTACTGCACCTCCTAATCTCTAAGTTACTTTTTTTTTTCATAACATGTATTTAGAAAAGATGGGATTTCTATTCTCTGCTTTTGTCAGGTGGAGGATTAAAGCATGAAGAGGTGTGTTCCTAAGTTGTTTTAGTATTCATACTGCCCTCTGGACTGCTGTCACCGTCACAGCCCGGGGCCAGGACAACATATATATGTTGAAGTTGAAAATTAGACAGGGCAGTTGCTGATAGCGGACAAAGAATCCTGAAGTTAATTGAGATCAGCCTGGTTCAAAGAGTCTTGCCCAAACTCATATTGCAAATCTACAGTTAATCAAGTCATAAATCAAGGACTGTCTAATCCAGACTGTTACTTTTAGCAGTGGGAAACCCTTCTAGCATAGCCTATAAAACTGAAACACAGAAAGCACTCAAAACTAAAGAAACATCTTCATCTCCTGTGGCTTCCTAGAAGTTCCATGAACTGGAATCTGTTCAGTTGTTATAGTCTTTTCAGCTAAATAAAATATGATTTATTGAATCCCAAGTGCATTACTAGTATTGCTAGACAGCATGCTTGACTGCAAGTTATACTGCATTGTCCAAGCCTGAGAGATTTTTGAGAAAATAGGAGTACATAAATCTTGCCCAAAGAGATTCTCAGCAGGTACTAAAGTTTCACTTAGCTCTTAAAAGATGAGATCTATTTCATGGGCTACAATGGAATTTCAGAACTGAATTTCTTGTAAACTGTCCTGTAAATAAATGCTTTTTGGTTATGGTTAGTAAAACTAAAATAAAAGATTCAAAGGATGTTTAGATAAAGCTTGAGAAAGCTGTATGAAGCTGTGAATAAGGTAACTGAAGAATCTTGCCTTCCAAAATTCCTCTTTTTCACGAACATCAGGCATTTAAATGGTTAAATGTTTTAATGAGCATAAGAAACTTGTTCAAGTAAGGCATATCTATGTGGGAACTGTTGAGTCATGGCCTGAGCCACTGATTGAGCACCTGGGAAAAGGACCTGGTCAGCCCTGGAAGCACAGGTGAAGGCAATTCAGCTGTGTAACCAGAAGGGGTGGAGTCTGGCTGCACCTCTTAGACCTCATTTAAGGTTGACTGCCACTAGGGAAGGATCTTTTTCTGGATATCTCTTCTTAGTGGTATTTTCCCCTGTGAGTCTAACTCTTTGAAGATAGGTGGCCAGTTATTTTTCTTTCTTTTATAATATCTTTCTATTATGTTAGTTGCTCTGTCATTATGCCTCCTGAATCACCTTTCCATATTGTTAATCTTTTTGATTGTTACAATATCATAAAATAAAAGCATCAGAATTGACTGAATCAAAGAGAAGTTGTTAAGATTCTCTTATGCTATAATATTTTTGATTAAATTCTTAACCTGCTGCTATAAACTGATTACATTTGAGCTCTGAATGTTGAGTCTCTTCAGGCAAGTTTTTTTTTGTGATTGAAATTAACATTACTTTGTTTAGTGACAGTGAATTAAAATACATTGTAAGAATACATGCAATCCCTGATTCTTCTGTTTATTTTCACTCTTGTCATTCACATCAATTGTAACAGGAAAGCCTGGTTCTAAATCTTAATGCAGCATGTACTTATGAATAATAACCAGGTGAAGTATGGAAAAAAGTGCAAGCTATTATTTTCAGCATCTACTTGTTCTAATTACAGAATGCTTCTGCTAAGATCATTTCTACCTAAGAAAATCCCTTGCTTGAAGATCACAGTTCTTTTACATATAAGTAAAATTCCATCTACTCCACTTCCTGGAGAATACCAAATGCTCTTAAGTGAAATTATATGCTTGTCTCCTTTCCTAAGTATCTGTTCATATGCATATTAATTAAATGTAAACATCAATTAGTCTACATTGATAACGCATTTACCTTTCTAAAATGTTTTCTTGGTGCCTTTTGTTGGTAAGGGAATTGCTGAGCCAGTGCTGAGGATAGAAAAATAATTTATTTAGAAAAAAATAAAAGGAGACCTTTAGCATTAATTGTTGACAACTGAATGAAAGTAGGAAAACTAACTTATTTTCAACTTTGTTTTCTAGTGTCTCAAGTTCTCATCTATTTGTGACAACACAAATCCAATATGCCATAAACATGTTGAAATGTTCTGGCCTTTACAGTTTTACCAGCCTGAGGTAAGAGAAAGAGTTGTTTAATCTCTTGTCTGGATCAGACTCATTAGGAACTGTAGCATATCTTCCTCATTCACAAATGGCTAGCAGTGACCTGATGTCTTGTTTCTCAAGGGCTCTTAATTGTGTTATGTGCTGTTTTCTCAAAATAATCTCTTCCTTGATTATCTGTACAATGTCAGAATTCCTTCCTCTTAAGTACATACATCTTTACTTTCCCTTGCTTATGTGTATTGTGGAGAAAGATACTTTTGAGGGCTGTCTTTCTTCTGATTATGTTAAGTCAAAGTTTTTAGTATACATATATATTTTTTGAGAGATTTCCTTACTGAATGGCCCACCCAAATTTCTTTAAAACAGAGAAGATGTATTTTATGGCAGGTTGCATCTTCATCTTGGGATAATTTCAACAAGTGAGCCATCTGATGCTCAGTTCTACAAGTTACAAAAAAATCGGATACTTCTGTCTGAAGAAATGCTGTGAATCTTGGTCTGTTATAAATTGGCCAAAAACAGCAGTAGGTATTGAATAATGCGCCAGAAAAAAATGTATCTTAAGAAATAAAACATACCTGCATTTACAATTTTGGTTAATGACACTGATTTAATCACAGCAGCAATAATTTGGCCCTTCCTGCCAATTCATTATCTCAGAGAAGTTAGCAATATATAAATCTCTAACTAAAATTAATAATTGGAACCTTAGAGAACTTTTCAGAAAACTGAAACGCACACATGCACATGCATGGGCATGTAACAGTTTAACTGACTGCACCTTGTGCAAATGCTACAGAGAAACCATTTTGGTTTCCCAAATCTCTGCTGAGTGCCAGCCAAATCTGTGGTTTGTTTTGTAGGGATATATCATGGTCTAAACTATTACTCAGTGTGAGTAAGGGTACTAGAAGGAGGCTGTAAGTAATTATGTGGATGTATTATGATTAATAAATAATAACAACAATTATTGAAGATGGTTTAACCAATAAGGTCTTTAATAAATGTTTAATAGTTTAAAATCCATGGTAAACAAAACCAGATGGCAATATAGCATATTGCCAAGTCCTGGTTGTGCAGCACTGGATATACAGTGTTATTAGAGCTAAAAGTCCAAATGAAATACTTCAAATGAATTGACCATAAGAAAAAGTAGTAGCACTGTATTTTGTTTTGTGACTTTGCATGAAGATGTAGTACTCATATACCTCAGAGCAGAAACGTCTTTTTTTCTGGTCACAGATTAGTTTATTGGCATTTATCTGTATGTTTGAGACAGTTCACTTGAGCTTACGTCTTTTAATTGTTAGTTTCAGGGTGACACTCAATAGCTGAATGGGAATGAATATGATCCGTGTCTGAATGAATCCTTTGAAAACGCACTATTTTTTTTTAGATAAGTCCATACCTATCCTACAGCTCCTTGATTCTCTACAAAAGAGAAATATCTATTTTTATTGCTTCATGGTGCTATTGTTAATTTGTATCTGTGTAGAAGATTAGTCTAGGTTCCATATTTTCAATGCATTCCACTTAATGGGAGTTGTGACGCTTTATAGTGAGGTACAAATGCTTAGTACTGGAACTGATTTCTTGAATTCCTGGTCCATCTTTCTTACAGCTGTGGTCTGAAAATGACTGAAGTTGATAGGTGTCCATTGACTGAGTAGCTTTGATGTTACCTTTCTACCTAGAGTAGTCCTGTGATTGTGACATGGCTGTTCTTTGACAGCTGAGGAGCTGCACTGTATTGAGGTCGTCAACATTATCTTTAGATTAACTTTAACTTAAGTCTGGTTTTGTTTGGGCCTGCTCAAGGTCTTAATGACAGTACTTTGTATTGACTGTGTGTTCTTTAGATTCTCCCTGTTGTTCTTAGTGTAAGTTAAGTATTTAGTCTGCAGGAGTGACGTAGTCTTTATGACAGAGGAATAATGACTGTTGATTTAGTATGTTAAAATGTAGTCTGTTGGTCCCATGTAATTTATCAAAATGCATGTGGAGAGAAGAAAGGAGCTCTTTCTCATCACATAGAAATTGATTAGAATAATTTATTTGAGGAATATAAAATATAGCTCTTGACAAAGGATCAGTAGTCTACAGGCTAGGGTCCTAGGTCCAATTTTTTGGACCTAGCTAGACCTAGCTAGATAGAACAGCTACAGGTTTATCTGAGTTAACTTTTGTCTTACCACAGGAAAAATGTGCTTCTGTAACTTGAATCTGATCTAAGTCAAGATCTGAATAAAAACAAGACAGCTTGTAATTATTATAGAAGTTAGAAAATCTGTAGGCTGGTCTCTTTTTTTCCTGATAACAGTTCACCAAGTAATGAAGACTTTGTGATTTATAATTCCAAAGCCTCTACAGCAAATAAGAGGAACACAGTAACTCAGTTCTGCTATGTTAAACTCAGCAAAAGTAAGGAACTTGATTTGACTCCAGTTAAATCACTGTAGCTCCTTCTGAAGGAAGTAGCTGTTTTGATTTCAACAGCTGCACCCTTGCTACACAGGGAGGCTTTTAAACAAGGAGGAATGGAATAACACCTTCCTTTTCTCCTCATTTCTCAGCCAATTCTCTTGCACTCATATTAGTAATTAGATGTAGCTGCCCTTGAGAGTTCTTACAGGACTCATTCTCATCATCTCAAGGGAAAACCAGAATTTTGCTTAAGAACAGTGACAGACTGTTGTTCTTCATATCTTCTCTCAAGTTAGCTTATGTATGTTGGCAGTCTCGGATAAAATTCTGTCCTTTTGCCCATGGTAAAGACCAGACATTCTTTTCAGCTGTTTGGTTTTTCAGCTAAAGCTGTACTAGCAAATTTTGAATATAGCTGCAGACTGAGTCTGGGCACTGGAGTTGGACAGCCACATTTGAATCTTCTGTCATGCTTTTGGTCTGTGCTACTTAGCATCTTTATAAACTACTCGTGGGGTTACCTTAGGAGTGAACACTGGCAGAGGACCATTTCTAAAAGTTTCTGTGGGAACCCTGCTAAAAAATATGGACACAAACTCTTTTAGTCTATGCTGCTGCAGTGCTGGTGGAACATGTCAGTCTGTGTTAGGAAATTGAACACATGTCTTAGCTGTTATCTCAGTGCCTTGGTTCTCCTTTGCAAATGAAGATAATGGGCATATAACACTTCCAGGAATGTAACAGAAAATATATTAATATGGTGAAACACTTATGTATGAAAATGTCCATAGTTATTTAAATATCCAAATTAGAGACCATAAATAACTGCATTCATGCAGAACTTAAAATTATTATACATTAAGATAAACAGTATTTTGTAGTGGAAATGAACATTATAAAAAATAGGTCTATTTAAAGTTGTATGATATAAAATAGCTGGTGGACACCATTACCACAAATCTTTATTAAGACATTTTGCTCAGTACATTTCAATGAGATTAGGATAGGAATAAAGAGGAAGTAGGATACCTTTTTTAAAAAAAGTGGATATTCTTCAAGACTTATAGTAATAAACATCTCTATAAACAATTCTGAAGGGCTGCTTACACCTCGTGCTCCAGAAGGTTTGCAGTTGGGAAGAAGATAAAGTGACTTGAATACAGATATGAACTCCTATGATGAAGGTCAAAGATTGTCTTTTGAATCAGAATTCTTCAAAAGTATCAGAGGGGTAAAGAGGCAATTTTGTAATATCTGGTGGGAAAATTAGTGGAAGATGAGAAAATACCTGATTTAGTTTGGTTCCCAAATACAAATTGGGGGTGAGAGGTGAAGAATGAACTGAGAAGAGAGTGATCTCCAAAAGCAAATCCAGAAAGAGATTAGAAATACTTTTTTTTTTTACGACCCATGTCACAAATCCTCTGAGATTTCAGTTCCTTAGAAAATTAATTAATCTGAGCATTCAGTGCTTCATTAAGTTCTGTTTACTAAGAAGCACTATATTCTAAAATTAAAAGTTAACTTGAATATAAAGCTTCTTTCTTTACTAACTTAAATATTTTTGCTGATTGTTTTCCAAGTGTATTGAATAAAACTGATTATGATCTTGAGGAAATTCTTTCAAAACAGAATATACCTCTTCATTATTTTTTAAACTGTCTTCCAATTTAAAGATGAAAGTTTAATCAAGCATTTAAAAAAATTTAGAAATCTCAATTAACAAATTGGAAGGCAATGGTTTTTTCCCAGCAACTTGAATTGTGGCTATTATGCTTGACTAATAGGAGATGAGAATATGAACAGATGGAACATGTCATAAAATGTCTTCCCCTCTTGTTTATTTTGCTTTTCATGTAATTTTCCAATCTTATTGTGAATTGTCTTGTCTTACTGTAAATCTTATTTTTTCGTCGTCTTTCTCCTTATTTCAGTGTACTGCCTCCTCTTATTTTGCCTGTTGTGATCTATTTTTATTCTCTCAGATTCTCACATAACCCATACTCATCTTAGCCCCCTTATAAATATCTTTTTTCCTTCCAAATTTTTACCAAAATATTTGTTTACACCCAGTTTTTCTTACTTGGTGAGGTAGTACCAATGTGTAGTAAGACTGACTGACCCTTAGAGACTGAGATTTCCAGGTGGACAAATGACACAGTGAGACACTTAGGGATTAAAGAAAAGGCAGAATCTCAAGTCTTCTGAGACTTCTATTTGTGGAGCACATGGCAGGTGTATGTGAGACTTCTCAATTCCATTTATGAGTGGAAATATCGGGGGTCTTTCCTCATGTTAGTTAGAAGCAATGAAGTTTTCACCAATGATGCAGAAGAGTAGTAACATGCTGTCAAAGACATGTAGTATTTCACTTCTGTAAAAAAAAAAAAAAAAAAAATTATACCATCTTCTAAGACATGACAAAATTACAGTTCAAAGAGGTGGAATGAGGGAACAAATATTAATGTTATAATTAAGATTATAATAGATTATAAATGTGTTCAGAAAAATGCTCTGGAAAGTTATTATTCACTATAACAGCTAAATTTAAACTGTCAGTGCTCATGAGATTTTTTAACTATGCTAGAAAATGTTGCCCATCAATCTATATATTTGAACTTGTACTTAAATCCTCTCATAAACAGAAGCTTCTGTTTATTTGCACAGGTAGGTGTTTTCAATGTGTTGCCAATACTTTACATTACATTGTGATGTTATAGAAACCACTCCTTTTTCCAAAAGGAGTTTCTTGACATTCTGTGCCCTTGATTCAAGTTCAGTAGTCTTACTTCCAGTACAGAGCTTTTGTAATGTTGACTAATGGGTGATCCTTTCTGATGGAAACTGAGGGATCTTTAAGAAATGAAGGTGTTTTAGAAACCAGAAATGTCTCCATGTGTACAGTTTCAAAATATTTAGAATAGGAAATAAATGCTAAAAAAGTTATGATTAAATATAGGTTTCCATATTGTGACATTAGAACATGTAAAAATAAGTCTTATACTTTCACTGCTGAATTTCTCTCTATTACGAGTAATCTACCCTTACATAACCCTTGTCGAAAGAATGAAGTGATGTTTCAAAGCTAGGCCATTACTAAGTAAAAAGATCCTGAAGTAGGCGTTCATTTAATAAGCACCTATGCTAACAGCATTTCACGTCAACAACAAATATTTCATAAGTTTTGTATAAAGTGTATGAAAGTGTGCAAATCCTGTACGAAAAATACCATAAGCAATCTCTGCCCCAAATAGTGGACTTTATAGGCATGGGCAGTGTATACTTAAAGGTGAAAAAATGATACAGAATATAGCTATGAAGCAGACAATTAGTATTTTTTTTCCTTCTGTATTTCTTAAATAGCATCTAGTATATCTGGGATAGCTGCAGAAGAGGAATGAAAAGACAAGTGGAGTAGAAGCAGACTCCATAGTGAACTAAACTAAAAGGCCAGTTTGTCAGCAGCTGTAATATTCCAGAGCTCCAGAGGTGTCTGTGCTGCCGTCCTAAGGCTAGGCTGGGATATATGCTTTAACACATCCCCCTGAAACTAAATCATTTATTTTCTGCATTACACTCTTCTAGATCTTTTTGGTCAGCAGAATGAGAGACTTGAAGTGAAACTGAATAAACTCCGCTAGCTGTAATTGGCTTCATGGAAATGAAGCTGAATTTCCTTGGAGCTACTCAAAACTATCATTGTGCTTCACTGTCTTTTCTCTACTGTATTGCTCCCATACCAGTTCTGTTTTCAAGGTCACTATGGCATTTTTAGAGCTGTCACTCAAAGAAATAACACAAATGCTGTGGTTATGGTGGCCACAGTAGCAATTTCAGTTTTTTAAAGAAGAAAATAAGCAGAAAGTCCAATTGGTCTACAGCCTATTTATCTTGTTATCTTCAGATGATGCCTGAGTGACATTTCCTGGAACTGATGCATATATCTATATATGGGCTGAATCCAAGACAGAATTTGTCTTTCTTGTAAGAGAGCAAACAGCTAAGCATTACACTTGTTTGATTGGCTATCATTCACACCAAATTAAGAGTTGGAAATTTCTCAAGGGGTAACTTTTAAAATGTAAAGTATTTTGAAGAATAAAATAAGTTGGTTTTGTCTTTCATTCACTTTCTGAAATCTTGTGAATTAAGTTGCTTATATGCCATTCCTTGCCATTCATGAAGTTTCATTAATTAAGGATTTCTCAGTTTGGCTTTACATGGTAGAGAGTTTCTACTTGTGTTGTAGTTAGTCATATGTAAATTTGAATATTGTTAATAAGTCTATATTTCTTCCCAAAGCTTGTTCAAGACTGCACTAAAGCAAGTTATTCTAGAGCAGAATAATGAAGAAATGTGCATGCAACAAATACTATCATGGCACTATTTCATAATTCCTTTATGCTGTTGTGCATGACTTAATGAAGTGTGGAGAAAGAGTGTATCGTTAATGAAATGTACCTGTAAAATGGGGATAATCATTCTCACTTTTTCTAAAAAATATTAATAGCTGTTAAAAAAATGCACTCTGGTTTTATAATTATTAGTGTTAGAAGATGTGGAAAATGAAAAGATTTATTTAAGGCTTTTAAATGGATATGTGGATGATGGAACAAATATATTTTAGGGCTGTCTGAGTCAAGTTTGAACATTAATTAACGGGATTAGAATCTGATTTAATTAAATTATCTGTATGAAAGTTAAAAATTCTTTTGGATGAAGAATACTCTATTCCTTTATTTTTAGTGATTTTATTTACTAAGCAGAATTTTACAATACACAGAATTGAAAAAAGGAGTAATGCATTCAAAGAATGAATGCTCTTGTGAGTAATACATAAAAATTAAATTAAATTGGTCTCTGGATGAATTCAAACTTTAAAAAGAAGTTCATCTATGTCTGCTATCTAGATAGCACCTGAGGTGTGTCTTTAAGTGCATGTACTCATGCAGAGACTAGAATGGTCTCCTTAGTTTAGATTAGTCTGTATTACTCTAATGTGTTTACTTGTCCTGTGCTTTAACTGAGCCACCACTGAGACCCCTTTAGCTTTGGAAGATGCATAACTGTTGTATCACTTGAATGCACTCAAGTTAGTAACCTTGGGAGAGGCAGGAGGACCAAAGTGGCTCTGGTGTGGCTCCAGGGCTGCTGATGTCCTCCAGGTCTGTTGAGAGCAGGCACCTTAAGTCAGGTGGTGGGTTACATCTGAGTGAGGCATCCTGTCACCCTTGGAGCTGAGCAAGCTCTATCTTCAACACCCTGAGACCTTATGATCATAATTTCTTCTTATTTTTACATGAAATCTCAAGTATTTTGCTAATTTAAAAGAATGTCTTATTTGGGTGAGTATGTACATACACATACATATACACCCTCATGAGCATAACAAAGTCTTCACTGATTTCTTAAATGCTTTGGGATTTTGAATAACAATTTTGTACTTATCTCACACACAGCAAAGCATGAGATTGTAAAACATCTGATTTAAATAATTACAAGGGCAGTTGGAAGTGTTCTTTTTACCATAGAAGGGCTGTGATATGCTGTATTCTAGTTGTAAAGTATGTTTTGAAATGCTAAAGTCTTCTGTGTGGTAATACAGATTGAAGCAAAAATGAGGATTCAAAAATACATTGATTTTTCTTAGTGTAGGTAACTTCCTGTTGTGTTTGAATTACACTGTAGTTTTCAGATCTATATTACATTTGTGAATACCATATTGTATTCACATCAGAATTACATGTGCAATCATATTTGCTGGCTTTGTAGTAAATAGCATTTGGAGTGAGCTAGTGATTAAAATATAGCTCCTAAAAAGTACTTTTCATTAAGCTTAGTAAATATTCTAGGTTTGTTGACTTGATTAATTAGTCACCTGTATCACAGGAGAAATAACTCTTATTTGAAACCACTTATAGAATACTGAGATTTTGGCATACAAGCTCTGCCACAAAGCATTTCCTGAAGGGGTGCACACTGTAGTATTTTTTAAATACTAGTTTGAAAAATATCATCTAACTATAAGGAAAATCTTATTTAAACATAGAATACTCTGAATGTGATTTTGTCCTACAACTCCCTTTCAGAGTATGTTCTTTTTTATAGAAAACCAAGTGTTAACTATCTCACAGACATACTGAATTAACTGGAACTCTGGAATTAGAAAATCTTTTGCATTAGAAGGAGGGACAGGGTGACAAACCTTTCAAAGGGAAGAATATGATGCTTAGCTGACCCCATTAACATAATAGGCACAGCTTAACTTCACAGCGATAGAGTTGTGCTCCTAAGAGATGGTAAGTGTGGAAAAGAAGGTAATTTTGCTCTATACCGTACCTGTAGCTCAAATACACAGTAGGTCTTGGGTATGTTTAATTAAGCTCTTGCAAACAGTGTCTTTTGTGGGGTTAGTTTCTGTGAATGTGATTCACTTCTGATTCCAAAGCAATGAAACTATACTTACTGAGTTAGTGGATGAGAGCTAATATATTCTGCTTATGAGGAAAAAAGTCTTTTGATCATAGAGATCGAGGTTAAGAGCATTATTGCAATGTATGGGCTGATGCTGATGGCAAAACTTTGTTCCCTGTGAAGCCCATTTTAACTCCAGTGGAAGTAGGCTTTGGCCCTGCTGCAAGTCACTGTAATTAAGTCTCTAATCTTCTAAAGGAAACTAAAGACAAAGGCTTTTATGTAATTTTTTTTGTAACTGTAGTTTTCTTCTGTGAGGTTTCTGCAATTTAATTTAAGCATGAACTACTTCAATCCTTGCTCATATAGCAGCTTGAATGCAGTTCAACTCTAGGATCTCTGCAGCAAGGGCTCCCAGGAGAAAAGGCCTGCATGAAATATCTTGAGAAAAGATTAAAAGCTTCAGTAATGTTCTATTAAACCTCACTGCTTTTAAAATAAATGGACATCTCATTGCTCTAAGGCATTTTACCTGTAGACATTCTTTTGGAGTCTCATGTTTTTAAATGACTTTGCCCACATTCTGCAAACTTACAGTCAAACCTAAAGATCTTACAGGAAAGAGGGATTAAGGAGTAATACATATAATGACTGGTAAGATCAGAGTGAGTCAAGATCAAATTTTAATTTATCATGAAGGTTGATGTGGTTTTGGGATGTTGTTGTAGCTTTGTACTGTCAATTAATTAAAATAATTAGATGTGACCTGGAAATTGAAGACATTCCACCTATGTCTCTTTGAGATGGTCAGATTAAATTGTGTGGGTTTTTTTAATAAGCACAAATGGATACATGCAAAGTATTTTAATAGGAACCTGAAACCACACACCGTGTTCCTGCTTGCATGTTTTATAAATAAAGCATTAAAGCTTTAAATATACTGAAAACTCTCAGATCTTTCAGTCTAATCTGATTCCTCTTTTAAGTGAATTTAGGTGAATGAACAGTTTTAACCTCAGGACTAAATCTACTGCAGTAAGTCTCAGTTTCACTGATATTTGTATTAATTATTAGTGTAGCAAGCACAGATCCTGCTAAGTAATTAATGTATCATTGTTTCAGGCAGTATAAGAAGGGATGCAGATGTGATTTCATAACAAAAAGAGATATATTATGCTAATGTTTTTAGCAGTATGGATAATGAATTGTAAGGTCCGCTTCAGCTGTTGCTCTGAAGCTCTGTGCTCATTTGAACCTTATGCTCAGAAAAAGGATGATCAAAATACAAATACCATAGGGGTTTTGCAGGAGGTTACAATATCTACCCATATCACAGACTACGTAGGCTCTCTCACAAGTCATGTTTCTATATACTTGAATGACTCAGGTGATAATATTCAGGAGTCTTTCTTCCATTACCTATTGCTTATCTGAAGGCAGTGGTCAGCTATATTTTTTTTTCAGTTAATGAATTGGGAAAAATAGAAGGCAATATAATCTCACTGGATTTCTGTGCTTTCACTTTCATCAGAAATTATGTCCAAAATTTTACCTGCTATTCTGTGAAGTCATTGTGGCATGTTTATGTCTATCAGTCATTGGTTTAAGTGGAAAGGAGCTGCTACAGAAATCAGGGGTCACAGGCAGAGAGGTGATCTCATACACAGCAATGGTCAGTACCAAGATAGTCCAGTTACCTGGGATGACACTGCACATTTGCCCATTTTCAGTGGGCAGTCAGTGCAGAGATTGGAGCTATGCTGTCATATCTCATGGTGGCCTCAGCTGGCAAGTAGCTGTGTTTGTATCAAATGGAATTTTCTAAGGAACACTTGTTTCTTTCTCTGGTTACATTGCAGTAATCCAGCACAGGAATAAAGTGTATGGATATTCACACCAGCCAACCCACTTCTAAGACTGACCTGGCAAAGAGCTCTGGTCAGCTCAAAGCTGGAAAGAGTGGTGTATTTGGATATCCAGTTATGAACTGATATAAAAGGCTTTTATGGAAAGCCTCCAATATAAGGGAGCATTGTGCAGAAGGCACAATGTAGCAGGTGATTTCTACTTTCTCCCTCATATATGTGATGAAAATTCAGAAGTGAGCAACTGATATTAGAAAATCTTCATAGCCCTAGCTGGTGGATTCATGGGTAGGTGCTGTGTCTAACACTTAAAATATTTAAACTGTAATATGTTTTCTCTTTTTTAATCAGGATTGTAGAATGACTCACTGACCTTCCCAAAGTCAGTCTTTCATTCAGCCTTCCATTTTGCTATGTATTTTTTCCCTAAAACTAAGACAAAATGTCAGAAAAAGAAATATTTGAGAGCCATTTAGAAATATAGAAGAATTCAGCTCAAATGAGTTGATTGAATTGTCTTCACAATTGTTGTAGCAAGAAAACTTAATATAGAGTTGCCATGGAGACTGATTCTTTGTCCACTGGTCTAATACATTAAAGCCTTTTAGTTCAGCAATGTGCTATTTGCAGATGATGCTGTGCATGATATTAACAAGTAGTTTGCTTCCATTAAGAGGAGAATATCTCTAAAATTACAGCACTACTTAAAGCAGAGATACGCAAGGCTCCTTGAAGTTATTTGAATAATCAGTGACCTGTATAATATCAATTCATGAAAATATTGTGTTCATACAGGATTGAAACATGCTTATTGCATCAAAACTTAGCCAGACATCACTATCTGTGCTATGGAAATGTGAGTTTGCACAGAGGATGGAATGAAGGCAATCTGGTAAACCAATTCTCTTCCAGGTGAACTTTGCTCAGTTCCTGAGGTGATTTGAACTTGTTTTCCAAGTGGCCTTATTCAAACTAATTCTTCCTTTGAGCACTTGGCTAACACTTACCAACTCTTTTATATTCCCCAGTAATAGGTATCATGGTGCTTTCTTCTGCTTAATGCGTGTCCTCTTTGCAGGGATGCTTTGAATACCAGGTGTACACTACACCACAAGGAGATGAGTTTGCTTCCCTACACAAAAGATTTATATTGATCACTGTTTAATGAAATCTTGTTTTTTTTATAAATGGCAAGCTGTATTTTTACCATGTGACCACTGCACAGTTCTGTAGCAGAGATGTAATGGAATAAAAGGGAGCAAATTGAACAGAAAAGCAGAAATTCAGCAGAGGTAAACCACTTAATAGCAGCATCTGTAATGAATTTCCTATCTAACCCTCTTCATAAACTGATAATGTAGACAGGAACTTAGAAAGACTCTTGATCAGACAATGGGAAGGAATAAAATAAGAGAGCTGCAGCTATCAAAACCTATTCTAGCCAGACAAGGGCCTGGGGCATTCCCTGAAATGGCATATTTGCTGGCTA